TCGTTCACACCTAAAGCTCTGTATTGTGATCATCGTTCACGCCTAAAGTTGTGTATTGTGGTCATCGTTCACACCTAAAGCTCTGTATTGTGATCATCGTTCACGCCTAAAGTTGTGTATTGTGGTCATCGTTCACACCTAAAGCTCTGTATTGTGGCCATAGTTCACACCTAAAGTTGTGTATGGTGGTTATCGTTCACACCTAAAGCTGTGTATTGTGGCCATAGTTCACACCTAAAGTAGTGTATTGTGGCCATACTTCACACCTAAAGTTGTGTATGGTGGTTATCGTTCACACCTAAAGCTGTGTATTGCAGCCATCGTTCACACCCAGCATGACTGACGAGAGCTAAAACAGATCAACACAGCAGTTCTCAGTATGGACACATTATTACACAACATTGAGACAGGTTAAACTGACTTTAGCTATTATTACACTACACTGGAACAGGTTTAGCTGCCTTTAGCTATTATTACACTACACTGGAACAGGTTTAGCTGACTTTAGCTATTATTACACTACACTGGAACAGGTTTAGCTGACTTTAGCTATTATTACACTACACTGGAACAGGTTTACTGACTTTAGCTATTACTACACTACACTGGAACAGATTAAACTGACTTTAGCTATTATTACACTACACTGGAACAGGTTTAGCTGACTTTAGCTATTATTACACTACACTGGAACAGGTTTACCTGACTTTAGCTATTATTACACTACACTGGAACAGGTTCAACTGCCTTTAGCTATTATTACACTACACTGGAACAGGTTTAGCTGACTTTAGCTATTATTACACTACACTGGAACAGGTTTAGCTGACTTTAGCTATTATCACACAACACCGAAACAGGTCGAGCTGCCTTGAGCTATTATCACACAACACCGAAACAGGTCGAGCTGCCTTTAGCTATTATCACACAACACCGAAACAGGTCGAGCTGACTTTAGCTATTATCACACAACACCGAAACAGCTCTGGCTGTCTTAAACTGTTATCACACAACATTGAAATAGGTCTGGCTGCCTTAAACTGTTATCATACAATATTGAAACAGGTCTGGCTGTCTTAAACTGTTATCACACAACACTGAAACAGGTCTGGCTGTCTTAAACTGTTATCACACAACACTGAAACAGGTCTGGCTGTCTTAAACTGTTATCACACAACATTGAAATAGGTCTGGCTGCCTTAAACTGTTATCATACAATATTGAAACAGGTCTGGCTGTCTTAAACTGTTATCACACAACACTGAAACAGGTCTGGCTGTCTTAAA